ACAATTGTAATATGGTTTTTCTTTGCGTGTCTTTATTAGAAGATGTCATCGTAAAAGCAATTTCTCAATGAAAACAATCATTTTAAACTTTATTTGTTTACAGTTTGGGACAATTTGTTTACGTGTTTAAAATTTGACGTGTATTGATTTTATTTTAGAAGAGCTATTAACATTTGAAGTACGCGAAAAAATTCCAAAAACTTTTGTTACACTCTGTATAAGCTTCATGAGCATTGGACTCTTGGTTGTTGTCTTAGTGCTGATTGACGACGAAAATTGATTTCGCGTCTTCGAATAATCAAGCCAATCGGTATATCCAAATTCAAATCGTGCTTAATATTCTGGGTCAATTCATTGCACACACGTTGGCAACACTTAGCTGAAACTCTAATATTTGCCCAATGACACTGTTATATCTTTGTTACATCACAATAATATTATTTTGACATCAACACTGTATCATTGTGATATCATTAACATATTGTTGTAATGCTATAATTATTGTAATAAGATGTTACAGAGACATTACGGTAGTGTCTTTGAGATATCATTTAAACACAGTGTGTGGATAGAAAGGAGGATTGATTACCAAGATTGAGCCGAACTGGCGCAGTGCTTGCTCTACTGTTATTGCATCCCCGTATTGTTCTATGTTAGGTTATTGATTACTGCAAAACTTGGGTAACGTGCCGGTCGGTTTGCCGATTACCATCCTTTTTGTTTCTGGAACCACCATGCACACCGATAATATGCTATCTTTTGACATCCAATGACGAGCGTAACTTTCCACTGGGTTGTCTGTCGGGTGTCCGTGTGAATTGATTCATCGAATGCCTTAGGACTTTGTTGAGTGGTTTTGCTTTTTTAGAACTGGTGGTAACCAGTCCACCATATGTGTGCATTCATGCTGTAGTAATGATGCGCTCACTCTTACGTCCGTCAATAAAGTGTACTCGATCCATTGTATATAACTATCAAATGCCTTGTTCAAATTCTTCCATGATTTCATTAGAAACGAGTCTAGAGAGCCGTTGCTCGGTGGTCGGACAGTAGTGGATGAATATAATGATTTGCGTTCTTCCGTTTCTTTTGTGATAACTTTTCGTGCACTACCTTGTTGATCTATTCTCGCTGGATTGTTCCTTTTTCTCTATCATCTCTGATGACTATTAACTTTCTTTCGGCCCATTGTCTATCCTGACCACCGACTTTGCAGCGTTCAACAAAAAAAAACATAGCCATGACGAGCGTGTTTGGGTAAATGTTTGTAAAATATATAGCTGGGTTTAATGCATATTAATATGTGTCGAGCGTTGCGGGGATTCTGCTTGCCCATTACAGAGGGAGGTACTTATTGAAATATAATCATGTGTGGCGTATCAACTGTCCATATGGCGAATATGGTTTATCCAGAATTGTCTAACCATACTGTTTATGGCTTATCTCGGTCGTTGAGGTTGTACTATTTGAATTTATGGTTGATGACTACGATTATGCCGGGTCTTTTTGCTTGGAGGATGAAGTTGGGATGATGGTAAAGATTCAAGAGATGTTGGTTCAGTGAAGCTTGAATAATGTTCATGTAGTTTGCTCTGTTAAATCTGGGTCGATGCAGACCAGGTTCCAAATATAGACCAACACCTTATTTCACTTGCAACCAAATGTCCATTGGTAGATTCAGTCTTCACTGCATTCTCTTCAGATACAGCGTGCTGAGTATTTGATTCGTTGCTTATTATCCCGCTTTTCCGCCCTCTTGCTAATACCGAGAAACCTCTACCTCGTCCTGACAGTCCATTCGATGCGCGCGTTTGATTGATCCACTACCGCTTTCCAAATCCATCGCTATGACGTCCTCGGATCGTCCCTTCCCACTATGTAAAACTCTCCGCGGTTATACGATTACATCATTTAAAATATAGGGTTCAGCCGCCTCTCGAGCTCTTTTCGTTGTCTTGTGGGCTTCGTTAACTTTCTCGACGTCCTTGTTGTATTTTGAGTGAGGATGTTATGTGATTTTCACGGGAGTCAAATGATCTATGGTGCGGGAAATCTATACTCGACAATCACGTGACCCAAAATATTAAGCGTCTTTAAACTCCTTCAACTTTTTACACAGATATTATTTTTAAAATCTGACCGGTACTTTTGTTCTTCACAGTAAGCTCTACAAAGTTATCGGTCAAACTTTAAAAATAATATCTGTGTAAAAAGTTATAGGGTTTTGAAGTTCATAAGTTTGATCAAAATTGAAACAACCGCGTGAGCATATAATTGGTTAAAATTGGTAGATCGAACCAAATATGGTACGGGACATCCGAAATATTAGGCATCTTTAAACTCCTTCAACTTTTTACACAGACATTATTTTTAAAATCTGACCAGTACTTTTGTTCTTCACAGTAAGCTCTACAAAGTTATCGGTCATAAGTTTGAGAAATTGAAACAACCACGTGAGCATATAATTGGTTAAAATTGGTATGCATAGTAATAGATCGAATTAAATATACAATTTTATTATTTTAATATTATCATAATAAAAATTTTTTGCTTATCATATTACGATACGATATTATTGGTCAATTAAAATTGAAACAAATCACGTGATTGTCGAGTATAGATTTCCCGCACCATATCAAAAACGAAACTTTTGCCCCTCGAGGCTCATATAACGTGACATGATTAATGGCTAGACGATCTGATGAAAGAATGGGAAGAAAATCCATACTCAATTCGTACAAATTTTTAGCCAAATATAGAAGTTTTCTACATATGTCAGGGACACTAGCTCCACTACAAAGCTCGATAATTAACTTTACCTTTTACTTTACGCTTTAGAATGGGGCGTTTCCTTATTGCAGAACAAGCCTTTAGGCGATTCTTTGAATCATGGCTCTTCGAGCTTACCGCTTCAATCCTATGCATATCCTCTGTTGCTGAAGTATCTGAATCAGAAGAAGTGTTCGAATCTGAGGTTGTATCAGAGTCAGAAGTAAGGTCTGCGAAGCAGGGCATTCCGTGCCTATATACATTTTATCAACAGATACCCTCCTTTCTTGGTTTTAAGGTCGTTGATACGTAGGGTTGTTCTGACCCAAGCATCTTCTGCGTCTGTTACTATCTCCGGTAAATATTCCCGAAGCTCATCATCATCGTACTTGCTCCCATAGTACCAAGCAAAATATGATTGGGTATTTCGGAATTATATTTGACTACGAGTACTTCGGTTGGAATTGTGATAGATTTGTTGTTGCTAAGTCGAGCATTGTTTTTTATGTTAGAGGTAAAAGCTGAGAACTAATTTCTGACTCCCGTAGTTAGTTATCTAATGTCCAATAATATATGATTAAATTTGTGCTACAAGTGTTTGTGCTATTCTAATTTCGGTAGCACAAAGTCACATATTGAGATACGTTTTTTGGCAAAGAGGCATATTAATATTGCGATCTCAACAATAAAAGTTTTTTTATTAGTATGCGTTTTCTTTTTTAAACGTTGGCTGGCAGTTATTTCTCCACCATATTAATTAATATATCAGGAATTCCGTTTTTGATAGATCGGCAAGTACCCCAAAGTCACGTTTTTGCTGATACCCAGCATTTTTTGATAGTCATTTGTTCGAATAAAATATCTTTTTGCCTAATTTGTTTAATTTCATTTTGACATTATACAAGACGGTAAAATTCGTCTCGTATTACGAATTAGTGATTATATAATACAACATAGTGATAGTTTTCGACGCATCTTTCCTCTGAAGACTTTCGTTCGATTGAAGATTAATTCGTTTAAATTTGACTTTATTTCATCGAGACTTCAATACCGATTCAAATATACATATCTGGCAGAAACTGCCATATTTCTGCAGAGAAGATCGAAGAAGCTCGCAGAAAAGTATTAATGACACTCCGATACTCGGCTCTTCGAAAAAATAATGGTTTTGTCCATATTAATATCATAATCGATAGATTTCGATATCTTTATTATATTACAGGTCAAACCTGTTTAAACCGGCGGACCTGGTTTGCCGATTCTTGGCCGGACCGGTTCAAAAAATTGTTCAACTAGAGAAAGTTTCTAATTAATGAAAGTTTGGTGTAGTCTTGAGGCGGCCGGT